AATATGCCAAATGAAACGCCAAAATTTGGAATTGTGCATATACAATAATTTTAAGCATCTGTTTTGGGACGACTTTTACGGTCGCCGTAGTAGTATATACCGGATAGTATATATTGGTATGTAAAAATTAGTAGTAATTAGTAGTAAATTAGTAGTAAAAATTAGTATATATTGGTATAGTCCTCCTAACCCATAAGCAGGGGTGTTAAATCATTAAAATTCAGAACAATGCAGTTTTATTATCAAATATTGGTCGACAATGATGTTGCCTGCATTCTGACAATAAAAAATGCTAATGAAAGTGAAATTTCATGTTTTTAGTGTACGAGAGAAAATTCTTTGCTGTATCTAACGATCAATATAGTTCTGCAGTCGAAAAAGCATTAGGACGAATGTAGCCACCACTAACTAACACCTGTCCACTTGTTAACACGGCTGTTGCATGCATATATCGGGCATAATTCAAGCTATCAGCAGTTGTCCAGACTCCTGTTGATGGATCATATAACTCAGAACTACTTAAAAAGCTAGTACCGTTATTTCCACCAACAACTAACACTTGTCCATTTAATAATACGGATGCAGTATGTTGATTTCTTGCGCTATTCATGCTACCAGTAGTTGTCCAGGCTCCTGTTGATGGATCGTATAACTCAGAACTACTTAAAATACCATTACTGTTAACTCCACCAGCAACTAACACTTGTCCATTTAATAATACGGATGCAGTATGTATTTTTCGTGCGTTATTCATGCTACTAGTAGTTGTCCAGACTCCTGTTGATGGATCGTACAACTCAGAACTACTTAAAAAACCATTACTATTACCTCCACCAGCAACTAACACTTGTCCGTTTAATAATACGGATGCAGTAGGCACTTTTCGTGCGTTATTCATGCTACTAGTAGTTGTCCAGACTCCTGTTGATGGATCGTACAACTCAGAACTACTTAAAGCAGCATAATTCGGGTCATTTCCACCAGCGACTAACACTTGTCCATTAAGTAATACAGATACTGTATGAACTGCTCGTGCGTTATTCATGCTACTAGTAGTCGTCCAGGCTCCTGTGGATGGATCATACAACTCAGAACTACCTAAAGCAGCATTCTTCGGGTCACTTCCACCAGCAAGTAACACTTGTCCATTTAATAATACGGATGCAGTATGACCTACTCGTTTGTTATTCACGCTACCAGTAGCCGTCCAGGCTCCTGTTGATGGATCATATAACTCAGAACTACTTAAATAATTATTACTGTTAACTCCACCAGCAACTAACACTTGTCCATTTAATAATACGGATGCAGTATGATCATATCGTGCAGTATTCAGGCTACCAGTATTTATCCATACAGCTGAAAAAAGGAAATTTACATCCAAGACAATGAGTAGGTGCTTATGTAACTCAGCATTCGAAATACAATATATAGATAATTCTCTACAAATTGGCACCATTGCGAGGTGAAGTTTGGCTAGAGGGTTGGATCCAAATGGGATCTCGACACTGGGAAAGAGCGCCCAGAAAATGTGCTAGTGCAGTTGTCTTGCTCTACAAGATGGCGTAAGTGGGTTGTCACGGGAAGTCAGACACGTTATAGAGCATAACCTATGTCTGAAGTTGTTTTCAGGCTTCCACAACTAATCGAACAGAGCTAGGCCAAAATGGCTGTATCTCCCGAACAGCAGCAGCTAGCGATATCGAACTAGCTTAGATTTGCAGAGGACGCTTCGAGCTACCATTTATTACATTCAAAGTCTACTTTTATTTCTATACTTGACCACCGCTTCTCTTTTCAGTTCTTAGGTATACGATGTGAAAACGCGCGATTTTCTATATTCTATATATTAGTGGATAGTCCAAATATTTAACTTCAGAATGGTGGAAACTCCACGTTTGCATCAGTTTTCTGTCGAGTCATTTAAAAAGTGAAAGAATGCACTATATTTTGAAATGCATAGTAGAATCCTATTATGGTCGCCTTAAGATCCTGCTACGAATCTAGGATTTCGGTTAGGTTTGTCTACTAGCCTAAACGAATATCTTAGAGCATTTTACAACTTTCGAGTGCTTCTGGCTAAGCAGGAGGATTTGTCTAGGATCTTGTGAGAAAATTCGTAAGCCTCCTGCTAGCATTACTGTTTTCCTTGTGATTGAGGCGCAACAGTGGAACTGCCGAAGTCTTGATGATGGCTTTCTGGGTGAGGATAGTGAGTAGTAGTTCAGTGAGGGCTCAAGTGATGTTGCAGGTTAAAAGTTAACTTATGGCTTGTCCAGCTAACGGTCCCCTTACCTCGCTCATTTTCAAAAGATTATTGCAATAAAGGTCAAACTAATCTAAAATTGCAACTAGATAACTAACTAGATTAAACATTTCTCTTCAAAATGAAAAGTGTCTCGGCTCTGAACGTTGATTTGTTATCAAACTACAGCTTTTGTACAAACAGCTCAGAACATCGATCTGGGGGCTATCTGAAAAACATGTCTAAAAGAGTGAAGACGAGCACGCGAAAATTGAACAAGTATACCAGTTTATAGAAAATGGGTTGCTCTGCAAAATATGATGGCTTTTTAAGTTCGCGTTTTTGCTGGGTTTTCTTTGATTAATATAGATTAATTAGAATAGTTTCGAATTTAAAAAGTATTTTGTAGAGCAACCAATTTTCTATAAACTGGTATACTTGTTCAATTTTCGCGTGCTCGTCTTCACTCTTTTAGACATGTTTGTCAGATAGCCCCCAGATCGATGTTCTGGGCTGTTTGTACAACAGCTGTAGTTTCATCACGTATCAATGTTCAGAGCCGAGGTTGAAGATGATATTCAATACCTGGGGATCTTCAGAGGTTCCTGAAGAGCATTTAGTTTTCTACCAATTTATCTTGCGGTATGAAGGAAAGTAAAGGATGCTTGTGTATGGTAGAAAGAATACGCGATTTTACGGTCTCAAGAGAAGTATAGATAATGAGCTAATAAATAATAAACAATGAATGATCCAAGAGCGTAAAAGAAAGAACAATTGAAAGAACAGACCACACAAATCAATCCGAATCATTTGTTATCATACAAACCACAAATCTTTTGGTAACATCGGAGGATCTCTAGCACGTCTTCAGAAGGTTTTCAGAGAACTTTTGGTTTCCTGTCGACTTTTAGCGATAGTCTGAATTAATATGATGGAAAAGTATGGTATCCGGTACCTGGGGATCTTCAGAAGGTTTTCAGGGAATACTTGGTTTTCTACCGATTTTTCTTGCGATTTTGAAAAACGACGGAAGAACATAGTATCCGGCATCCGGGTGTCTCTCAGCAATTTCTAGGTGCGATCCTACTATTGGCTATACACTTTTCCTGAACTTGATTGCGTGGAAATGAGAATAAGTAACCGGCTTTGGAGAATCGACGGGGATAGGTTTCGGGTGGTTGCGAATCTTCAGAAACGTTTGAATATCCTGCCGATGTATGAATTATTATCTGTGTAGAAAGACGAGTAAGTGTAGGATCTGGTTTCTAGAAGTGTCTAGAGTATTCTGATGATTTTTCTGCCTGAAGTATCTTAAGAGGACTTCCAATACAATCTGTTATTCCTGGTGTTTAGTACGATCCAAATAATGTGAGATGAAGGTGGACATGGTTCCTAGTACCCACGGATGTTTTTGCGCTTCGTTGGTAATTAGCCACCGGTGCCGAGACAAGCGTAGCGAACCCAGGAGCCCAACGTAACCAAAATAGCCAAATGAGTCTTCTGTAAGAAAGTAGCCATCTGTTATGGTGTCTGTGAACTATCATCTGAAGTGGAACGTCTGTGATGACAGCTCTTCAAGCACAAACGTGCCCATAGATTTCTTCAAACTGAAGTACCGATCCTGAGTTTTAAAATTTTCGTGGCGATTTTTGACTGTTTGCGATTTGGTGTTTGCCTGATCGGTTAGTGGAAAGAGAATAGTCAAATATATTGAAGTAGTTAAAAGTAATTCTTTGAATATTTGGCTGCAACCACAGGCAGTATATCCGCTTAGTTTGAAACTTCTGAGAATGGAGGACTGTAGCTCTAAGTGTGTTTTAACTGATTGGGAACGACTTTGCTGAATGTTCTAACACCGATTATTAATCGGTGCATGCCTAATCCCGATCGGAATACATTTTTATATTCCAATTGATGATACTGTGAAGTATCGAAAGCTTGTGTAAAATCATTTTACAAAAATGTTTTTCAATTATATTAAATATACTTAGTTTTATCAGAAAAACTAAAAAAAGTCAAAGAATGTCAATATATCCCAATATTATTGCATATTATTGGGTATACAATAATATTGTACAATACCTTCAATAATGGTCGGTATTGGTACCTGCCTGCAATGGATAATTTGACTTGATTGCATTATGCTTCCGTAGAAAAAGGTAAAACATAGTGGAAAAAGATCCTTTCATGTGCTCAACCCAACGAGATCAAAATCACTTCTCAATATGCTTTAGTTCAATCAACAATTAATTTTTACATTATGTCAAATTTATCTTAAAATTCTTATATCTCTATAAATAAATATGCCAAATCGAAAATCGAAACAAAATCGAAAATCTCATCGGACATTTTGTGAGAAAACCCTCGACTCCCAACATTATAACAGAATTTTCTGCACAAACAAAGCACTTATCAAATTACATTTTCCTACCAATTTGAAGCTCTATCGATTCTATATATTGACAATCATATCCAGTTTTTTCTTTACGTCGACATTACGCTTTGAAAACTCACCGGACATAAATTCTAAAGTGCGCTACACAGCAAATTTCACCTTTTTTCCAACTAAAAATTGTATCTCTGTGTGGAATCACATCACATAGGATTGAAGTTGCAACCAACACTAATAAAAGACGTTAATTTGAATTTCATTTATTTGCAACAACTGAAGATCATGTAAACATTATCTTCTCGAATAGGCAAAATTTTAATAAACATAAGAATGTAACAGCAGTTATAAAATGAAAATTACTTGATTAATAAACATAAAAATGTAACAGCAGTTTTTGCTGTTATTACAATCTTATGTTTATGGACATCATGTGTGCTTAATTGTCGTAAAATACTTCTCTATTGATTGTCTTTTCTTCTACACATAGATTTATGTTCTATATAAATGCGAGATAACTCGCAGTGTACCTTCCACTTGCTATAATGAATACAATGTATTTAGCTACTTTGTCACTAATTGTGATGGTTTCATGTGTGGATAATGATAGCGGTAAGTTATACACAGCTTTACAACTCCTTTGAATTTGAGTCTCTT